GCTGGGGAATGTGGCTCAGTGGTTGAGTGCCCGTGAGTCCAATCCCTGGTACCCTCTTCCCCAAAAGTAAAAGCATATACATACATGTAATGCATATATGCTGTTATGGTTTAGATATGAGGCATCCCCCAAACTTATGTGAGACAATGCAAGGAAGTTTAGAGGTGAAGTGATTGGGTTATGAGAGTTTTAGCTTCATCAGTGTGTTAATCTGCTGAAAAGGATTAACTGGGTGGTAATTATAGGCAGATAGAGTGTGGCTGGAGGGGGTGGGTGCCTTTGGAGTATTTATTTTGTCCTTGCTAAGCAGAGCTTTCTGATGCCATTTCCCCAGCTGCTTTCCTCTGCCACACTTTTCTGCCATGATGTCCTGCCTCACCTTGGTCCCCAAAGAATAGTCAGCTATCTGTGGACTAAGACCTATAAAGTCCAAAATATTTAGGAGTCCAAAATAAACTTTTCTTCCTCCAATTGTTCTTGTCAAGTCTCTTGGTCACAGAAGTGGAAAAGGTAACTAAAATATGCACACACATATGAAATACTGTCAAGTGAAAAAAAATGTAAAGCAGCATCTGATGATTTGTTTGGTTAAAAACAAATTTATACACACATATTTAGACACTTTTAGAGTTTAAAAGTTACACTGTCAGTATCTCTGAGGAATATGATGGAAAGGGAATAAGAGGGGGCAAGACAATTTTCACTTTTTCTTATATACTAGTGGATTATTTGAGTTTTTAGAAAGAGCATATTATTTTTGTCATAAAAAAACCACCTAAACTAAAAACAAATGTTATGGTTTAGATTGGAGGTGTTTCTTCAAAGTTTGTATGTCAATGCAAGAATATCCAAAGTGAAATGATTATGAGAGCTATAACATAATCAGTCCCTCCTAGTTGGATATACTAACTGGGGAGTAACTGTAGGCAGGCAGGGTATAGCTGGAGGAGGTTGGTTACTGGGGACGTGCCCTGGAAAGGTGGCTCTTCCCTGTGGCCCCTTCCCCTTTGTCTATATCTGCCATGTCCTTCCATCATGATATTCTGCCTCACTTGGGTCAAAGCAATGGAGTCTGCAACCACAGACTTCATCTCTGAAACCATAAGCCAAAATAAACCTTCTCTAAGTTGATCTTGTCAGGTATTTTGGTCACAGTGACACAAATTTACACAACAAAGAATTAAGAGACATAATAACTAGATGCAATATATTATGTTACACTGAATCATCAAAAAGGACATTCATAAAAAACTGATGAAATGCGAATATAGTCTGTTGAGTTTTAAAAACTGCACTGAGATTTCATCTCACTCTAGTCAGGATAGCAATTATCAAGAATACAAGTAATTCTTGGCTGGGATTGTAGTTCAGTGGTAGAGTGCTTGCCTTGCACATGTGAGGCACTGGGTTTGATCCTTAGCACCACATAAAAATAAATAAAATAAAGGTATTGTGTCCATGTCCAATAAAAAAAAATTATAAAAAGAATACAAATAATACTAAATGTTAGCAAGAAATGTGGGAAGAAAGGTTCATTTATACAATGCTGATGGGACTACAAATTGGTGCATCCATTCTGGAAAGCAGTATGGAGGTTCCTCAAAAAACTTGGAATGGAACTACCATTTGACCCAGTTATCCCACTTCTCAGCATATACCCAAAGGACTTAAAATCAGCATAATATAGTGACATGGCCACATCAATGTTTATAGCAGCTCAATTCATAAAGCTAAGTTGTGGAACCAACCTAGATGCCCTTCAACAGATGAATGGACAAAGAAAATGTGATACATAGACACTATGGAATATTACTCAGCCATAAAAAGGAATGAAATTACAAATGAAGAGATTCAGTCTGGATTAAAAGAATCCACTACCTTTCTCCTTTTGTTCCAAGTCCCTTGCATTGACATATTTTAAAAGAAATAAAGATCAGGGGTTGTAGTACATACCCAGGAAGCTGAGGCAGGAGAATCTCAAATTCAAGGCCAGCCTGGGCGATTTAATGGAGGAACCATAAGCATGATTAGAATACCTAGTTTTGAGAAACTTCTGTGAATTTCTCAAAATCATTCTCAAAATATTGTCCCCCAGAGAACTGTATCAGGATCAACTGGAAATTTATTAGAAATTCAAATTCTTGGGCCATATCCTAAAGACTCTCCTGAATCACTGGCTCTGGGGCAGGAACTTGCAATCTAGGCTTGAGCAAGCCCTCCCAGAGATTCAGATGCACATGAAAGTTTATTGACCCCCATAAAACTGACTGAACTGACAAGAAATAAGAGGTTCAACCCAAGCTGGCCCTGGAGATAACAATTAACAAAGTTAAAGCAGTCCAGGGACACTCAAAGCTCAGTAGATTAATTGATGAAAGCTGGAGATCTATAGTTGAGTCAAGTCCTAACCCACCCCACCTTCAAAACCAAGTGGCGGATGGAAGTGGGACATGGCTCTGCCAAGAAGAGTGCCATTGTCAGAATAAAGCCCTTTATATTTTGGCAAAGACATAGGAATAAAGGTGAAACAAGAGCTCGATCTTCTGCCAACTCCCCATCTGGTATCTTCAAAAAGTCTGCCACTTAATAAGCCCTCTTTCTCAGTCAAGGCTAATATCTTCAGGAGAAATGCTGGGAAAACGCATGTCAACTACCAATGTTAATTAAGTGAATCTTGGCTAAGAGGGGACAACAGATAGCTGTAAAGTTAATTAATAAGTTGAGCAAACAACACTTGACAATAAACAGGGAAAATAAATAATTCAAGGAATAGAAAATAATTTGAAAATTCTGATTGATATTCTGAGATGTAAGGATTCTACATCCATGAAAATAGAGGAACAAGAAAGCAATCTTGAATATTTAAAACATATTCCTAAACTTAAAACAGAATAGGAAAACTGAATAATAATGTAATAGCTATGTCTAAAAAGTTAATTAGTGAGCTAGAAGATAACATCTGAAGAAATATCCCAGAACAGAGCAAAAAGAGCAGACCAAAAAAAGAAACAAACAAAGTGGAGTGACAAAAGATCAAGAGGTCTCACGTATATATGCAGAAAAATAAAGTAGATAAAACAAGAAAATGAAAAAGTCATTTTTCAAATGGCCCTTAATTCAAGAATGATATAATTCTTGAGATGAAATGACTGAGAGTGGGGTAAGCAGAATGAATGCCAAATGTCCCACATATTAGACACATGTTGGTGAAATAGGATTCTAGGCATAAAAAAGAACATACTAAAAGTTTTTCATGACAGAAAAATAAGTTAATTATCAATAAATAAAGAAGAAAGATCATCAGACTGGTATATGATCTTAATCAGCAATACTGGACACTAGCAAACAATGGTGTTAGACCTTCAACATTCTGAAAGGAAATGATTATAAGCTTGAATCTCTAAACTAAAAAAATTTTCAAATTCAGGATTCAAAATCTAATTGCTTGAAAATATATTGCAGCAAGCCAGGAAATTAATCCTGGATTGCAAGAAAAAGCAAGTAGGAAACTGTAAAACTCAGTTGTCCAATAAATATTTAAACAGAATGTTAACACACACACCCACACCCCTCAAGATAATAGATTGATCTGAAATTAAAATCCCTCATGATTTCACTAGAAGAAAATGTCTGGGAGATGGGTAGAAGTCATAGCAACTGGTAAATTCTAAACATTAGCAAAAAGGATGATCACTAAAGGAATAGCAAAAGGTTATTTCCAAAGCACAAGAAGGAAACTGAGAAAAAAACCAGCACCCAATCAAGCCAATTATATGCTGAAATAAAACAAGCAACAGTTATTACAGCACAAGGCACCACAAGCACCAAAGTGCCTCTCAGCCCTGTACAAAGTTGTGCAAGAATGCCTGCTTGGGACCAGCACAAGTACTAGAAGATTTTGGAAATGGTGGAGCTGCAGACCAATATGAAGAACTATGACCCCCAGAAAACAAATGCTCCCGAGTTACCAGATGGCTGACGTCCACTCCCTATCCCAAATTCTCCACCTGTGTTCTGGGGCCCAGAAGCAAATGATTGAAATCTAGGCTGCAGACACCCCAACATGGATGATAACAAGGCTGTGGTCAAGAAGTATCATGCCTTTCTGGCCTCAGAGACTCTCATCAAGCATATCCCATGAATCCTGGACCCAGAAGGCTGGCCGAGTCCAAAACACTGAGGCCATGACAGTGGATGAGGTGAAGTCCACCATCAAGTTCCAGATGAAGAAGTGCTCTGTCTGGTCATGGCTGTTGGTCATGTAAAGATGACAGAGAGTGAACTTTTCACTTGTGTATGATATCCACGCAACTTCGTAGTGTCACTGCTCAAGAAGAGTTGGCAGAACATCCAGGCTTTCCACGTCCGGAGCACTCACAGGGAAAGCCCCAGAGCCCGTACTGTAGTACAGCCTAGTCAATCCTACTGCTACCAAATAAGCAAACGACCAAACAAAAAACAAATACAATCTATACAAAATAGAAAATAATATGAATGATTTCTAAAATTATAGAAATAATCCAAGCATTTCAAGTATTTCAATTAATATAAATGGATTGAATTCCTCAGAGATTCTGACATTAAACTCTCCAAAAGCTATTAATTACATTAAAAAACATACTAAGAACAAAGGAGAGTACTTCATAGTTATAAAGGCACAGCTCACCAACAGTCATGTAATACTTTCATATTTCAGAAATCAATTGGTTAAATCAGTGTTAAAGTTTAAAAAACTAGTAAGCTAAATCCAAGATACCTTTTATCCAAAATCAGACATAATATCCTCTACTCTCTAAAACACAAGATATTTACAAATATTGATCATCTATTCCATAGAGTCATACAGACTATATTCTATCCACTTGGAAATTTTAAGTGTATTTTAAAATAATTCCTAGGTTACATATAAAGGAAACTGAATCTGAAATTATTCCTTAGAAACAAAGCACAGTCTACACAGCCAGTGTCAGCTGTAGCCAAGGCAGTAAGACTCAGGAGCATTTTCAGTCTTAAACGTATTTATTAAAAAACAAGAAATAAAGAGAATAAAATTGTCTATAGAATATACCTTAAAGCAGCACTTGTCAATCTCTCTAGAGAGAGAGTGGTTTGTGTAAGTAGTCCAGGAGCCTGTGAATTCATTTGTCAACTCTAAGCCTATGGAATTTGCAAGCTAAGCAAGGATAAAACTACAGACTACATCACAATTTAGAATATCAACTCAGTTTGTAACATTAGTAGGTCATCCTGATGAGATGAATTGGGTTGGGAATCATATCACTGAATACATAAAAATGAAACTCGAGCCAGAGGCAGTGGCATAGGTCTATAATCTCAGTGGCTTGGCAGGCTGAGTCAGGAGGATTGCAAGTTCAAAGCTAGCCTCAGCAACTTGGCAAGCCCCTAAACAACTTGGTGAGCTCTGTCTCAATACAAAAAATAAAACGGCTGTGGTGGTAGCTCAGTAGTAAATTGACCCTGGGTTAAAACCCCAATCCCCCAAAGAAAGTAAAACTGAGTTCTTGAAGTCAGGCAAGGCCTTCCTCACTTTTATACCTTTAATGCCGGCATGGTGGGAGCACATAAGTAAGTGGTAAACAGTTTATAAGAACTGAATTAATATACCAGGCAGATAATTTTCCAAAATATATGGGTTTCATTCATTGGAGGAGCAGGAAGAGACAGATTAAAAGGTCTGCAGAGTGGTTACAAGACTGGGAAACAATGACTAAAAATGAATCTTAATCTCAGGTCTGTAATGTCGCTAGTGTTACATGCCAGGCATACCAGGATTCTGTGGAGAACCTCACGAATATAAAGGAGCCTGCCTGAGAGCTGGGGTCAGCATTCTTAGTTTTGTTTTGTTTTCCTGGCAGCAAGACTTATGAACTTCAATAATCACAATGTCATATAAAATTAATATTCAACTAGGGGCTGGGGATGTGGCTCAAGCGGTAGCAAGCTTGCCTGGCATGCGTGCGGCCCGGGTTCAATCCTCAGCACCACATACAAACAAAGATGTTGTGTCCGCCGAAAACTAAAAAAAATAAATATTAAAATTCTCTCTCTCTCTCTTTAAAAAAAATAATATTCAACTATAATAACAGACAAGTTTTAAAAATCTAGCCTCTTTTAGCTATATGTCAAAAGGGTAGAATCCAGCTATAGATAGCACAAAGCTAGAACATATGATCAAATTCCCTATTATAAAAGACAAAGATCTCAGCTTTCACTTACTTAAAAAAACTTAAAGGCTTCAATTACTACCTTCATTGGAAAATTTTTAATTAAACCTTAAAACTGAGATGATTATCACATTACCTCATAAACCAATCTTTCTGCTACAAAAAAACAGGTTGAACCTCATCAGTTATTATACTTTATATATTTTGGGGGACAGGGAAAGGAAGAGTCTGAATTTGAACTACTTTTTAAAAAATACTTCAATTAAATCTAAACATACTAAGAAGACATAGCTATACTGATATTTCAAACATCTAATATCTGAGCTATGTAAGTGAAGCTAGTATAAATGAGGATAATTTAAATTTTAAGATCTTCTGATTATATTAATTGGAAATGGTTTATTTTTTAAAATCCCCCTTGTTATAGTTACAGAATAACTCTTCATCTTCTGCATTAAAAACAAAATGTATTTCTTTGCTTAATTTTGCTTAGCTGAATTAAGCATTTAAAAAATTTTCTTCTTTGTTATTAAACCAGTATCTTCAGTTCTTAACTGGACTAATAATAGTCTTCCTTACAAGACATCAATACATAAAAATAAATACACATTAAAATTCTCCCAGCAAGTACTATATATAATCCAAACACACTCCTTCAAAAATTAACCATGTTATTTATTTGCACAGAATCAAAGGAAAGACTTGAAATTCCAACATAATATTCTATGAGGCTTACAGTTTACCAATATGGTTTTGAAAAAAAAAATGGTTTTGGGTTTTCCTCCATTAACTTGAGGATGGTATTATTTTACACATTTAATATGCTTCAGTTATATGTGCTGAAACATTACACACCTATACATCTTTAGTTTTCATTAAGTCCAAAAAAGTCTTTTTTGATGATATATCGAACACACTGAAGAATCACGTTTCTTTCATGTCGAATGTCCGGAGCTAGAAGCTAAAAAAACAATTAAAAAAAAGAAGATTAAGTGATAAAAAACATACTT